ATCCATTTATCTATTAGATATCTGATATCCAATAATAATTGGATAAGATGAGTTAAATAGATGGATATCCGAATAATCCAATAAATTATCTGGATTATATACTGTTTTTTAATCAGGATCGATGCAGAAGCAAACATTTTATTGATCGAAGTACTATTTATTCCCTGCAACAGTGGGAATAAGAGGTATATCCCTGTTATTTGGACCCAAAGAGTTTCTAGTGAGCTGGGATCTACCAGGTTATTTCCCTATTTATAGAAAATAAGGGTATTATTATTTGTTTTTATATGATGTTATAATGGGCTTTACGACTCATAATCACTATAATCAATAAAAAAAATGGGGTTTCTTGTGATGCAAGTTATTTTCCCAGCAACGTTTGTTTTTCTTCAAAATTCTGGGAAAATAACAAACGTTGCCCAATGTTTATGTTACAACTCACAAGTAATTAGATATTCGCTCAATGTTAATTACTAGCCAAATTTTTATTCTTTAAGCGTATATTCAAATATTTTTGCATTCTTCACGTAGAACACAACCGCATTTTCTTGAGCATAATAAACTTCTTTTTTTGCAAGAACATGATTTGGTGTCGCAATTTGTTTTTCAGCAATGATTGTTAAATGAGTCCTGCTGCAATAATAGCTGGGTGGACTTTTAAAAAAAATCTTATATGTGAAATTTTTTTTAAAAAAAAGTCGGCTGACTATGTTCATTTAAAAGTCTCATGTCATAAAACCAAGACATTAAATTTGTATGGCCTTACGATAGTAGCTTTTTAATATTGAGTAGGGCTTCATTTCACTTTATTAAGTACAACAACGTAATAAATAATAGCCTGTCAAGTTATAAACTGTGATTTTAAACAACTTGGTGATTAATGTGGTAGTAGGAAATAGTATATAGCTGTAATAAGTTTAGAACAAAAAGAAAAAAGTCTAAATCTTATAAAAGTTTAATCAAAATAAATCATAAATACATCATATATATATATATTCATTCTATTATTTCCTGAATTTTTGCTCTAGACCTTTCAGCTAACCGTTTAGCTGGTTTAGCTAATACAATCATCGGAAAGGTATAAAGTAATGATGTTATCACAGTAAAAATGAGAGTAATATTATCATAAGTTACTGTATAATAAAGACATTCATAAATTAAAGTTATTAACTAAATTCTTTACAATAGAGTAAAACAGTAAATAGTTACCTCTATCAAAAATAATACAGGGAAGCGAGTTTAGAGAGAGTAGTTTTGAGTCGTAGAATAAGGTCATATTGCCCTTATAATTTCCATATGTTCCCAAAATATAGATACATAAATATTGTTCTGAATAATAATAAAGAAAGCAAAATAACTTTGACAGCAAAAAAACTTGAATCGAAATCGGATTCGTTATTCAAGATTATCCAATTCACTTTTGTTTTTTATCACTATTCCCGTTCATCAAAGTTTTAGACAAAATATAAAGTCAAATATATATGGGTAAGTATCAAACAAATTCACAAATACTTATGAAGCTTCTCCTATCTGAGATTTAAGCGATTTAATATCTGTTTCTTGTTCAGAAATTTTATTAGATATAACATGCAGTAATTCTTCAATCTTAATAATATGATCAAGTTGCTGCTGTTTCGAAGCAACGATCAATTCAAATAAAGTAAAACTGGCTATTTTATTGGATTGGTCTTCAACAGTAGCAGTGAGAGTAGCATTTATCGACATGAATGATTTATTAGAAATTCTGAGATCAAGAAACTTTAAAACAGCATAAAAAGTATTTATTGAGATTGGCAAAATTTTGGATTGCATTGATTAATCATCATCTAACAATCGTGATTGTGATTGTTAGATGATGATTAATCATTTTGCAAATCGTAATAATAATTTCTTATCAGTATTAAAACAAAATGTAAAGATTATAAATGACATACCTTTGTGTTGAATTTTAGGATCTGAAGATAACTACATTAATTTCCTAAGCTCTTCTTGATCTTCGTCTTCTCTTCAACAGGATTTTTCTCAACCTCATTAACAGGTTCATCATTATTGTTACCTCCATTATCATAATATAAATCTTCTATTTCGCAGTCTTCATAAGTTGCAACACTTCGAAGATTAGATTGAATGTTCGTCACATCTATGATTGAATTTGCAGAAACTTGAGGCCTATGTGATTTTGTAGTAGACTGATAATTGAAGTTTAAAGTACTTTTTTCAAAACTAAAACTACAAAGAATAAACAAAAAAGAAGTATTATACTTCTTTTTTGTTTATTCTTCATAGTTGTATTTTTTTTAAAAAAGTACTTTAACCTGTATAAATAATGTAAAATTAAATTAATTTAAACAGCTAATTATACTAAAGTCTTTCTATGGAGGTGGACCTGAATCACTTCGATTAGATAATTCAGTTCGAATCTCCACCTAGCGATATGCAACATCGGACCAGGTTTTAGGAGTACTGGGAGGAGACCTTGTGTTTTATCTGGGATTCAATTGGTATTGAATGTTATGTGAAAATGCGTTACTTTGATAGTAAGAAGAATCATTGAATTTGACAAATGTTTGCTCTTCACTCTTGATGGTCAATAAGTGGTCCATTTATTTTTGTTAAAAGATGAATTTTCATGGTTATACTGATGACTTATATCATCGTTTGATTTCACCTTAATCTTTTAGTATTCGTATTGTGACTGGGGCCACTTTCCATGAAACATCTGAACGAGCGTAATTGAGAGATGCATCAAAACTAGAGCTAAAAAGAGCTTTTCGAGAAGATTCACCAGAGTTTATATTTGTTTATAGCGGGAATTTTTAGATTCATCATATATCATTGTGGTGTTGACCCTAGACCATTCTTTGAGGTCAGATTCATATAAATTGTAGTGAATAAAAATATTCATTTGTGAACGATCTGAATTTAAATATATAGAAGATATATATAGTAAAAACTAAGCCGAATATATTTTTATTATAAATTAAAGTTGGCAGATAAAGTTAAAATTTCACAAGAAAATCATTTTGTTAGTGCACAGAAGGTAATTTCATAGATAAAATGTGAACTATACAGGATTTTTTAGTTTGTTTTGATTTTTCATGTTTTTTTTGCATAACATCTGATTTTGAAATCGATTTGGCCCGAGAAATTTTTTAGAGTAATGACACTAGAATGGTTCTTCCTAATACTTCAGATAATTCTGTTAATCTGTTTCGAATATCTGACATAAATGGATGGATATCTGGTTATGTTAATGTGGGTAAATAGATAATGGATTTATCTGGATTGAAACTCTAAATTTTCAAAATAATTTGAGATTTATTAGCTATAATAATACTATTTTTAATAAAAGTATTCTCTATTCAATTATTGTAATGTTGGCATATTTAACATTATTAAACTTTCATTTGAATACTTGTTTAGCAAATTTGGTGTGTTTAGTTTGTATAAAAGGTTATAGAAAAGGCATTTTTTGTTAAATAAATCTTGATAAAAAATAAAAAAAGCTCCAAAAATAAAATAGCTTTTATAATAAATATACCAAATGAAGTTAGATATATGATTAAGAATTTGTTAATTAGATTCAAGGTTTCAAAAATTAATAAATCATTTTAATTCATCTATATCTTTGAAAACTGGTTTATAAAAGATTTGCTAACATCTAAATATTTGACAATTTTTTGAATTAATAAGCATTCTAAATTTTTTAATCATAAAGTTTTGGAGTTTTGAGGTTTCAGATGAAATTTCAGATTTCAGAAGAAGTTTCAGATTTCAGATAGTGTTTTGAGTTTTAAATAAGATTTTAAAAACTATAATCCAAAACCCAAAACTTTTAGATTTGGCAAAAAAGATTTCAGTAACCAACTTTAATATAATAACAAATTTAAAATGGATTATCTGAAATATATAGAAATTTAAAATGGGTTGTACTAATAGAAAAAATAAAATTGATATATTAGAAATAGATTAGATGCATAGTTATTATAAAAGGGTTAATAATTTTTTTAAAGTGTTTAATCTTAATAAATTTTGTTTCTAAAACTTAAATTTGAAAAATAAAAATTAGTTAAATTTAACAAATGTGCTATAATGCATAATAGTACCATAAAGTATGAAAAATAAGCACATACGATAAATAAGCACATTTATAATAAAAATCTGTGTTTTGTAAATAAGCACACTTTATAATATTAACTACATGCATAACTATTTATGTACACACACATAATTATTGTGCTATTAATAATTTAATGCTGCACTAAACACATGCAAGAAATAAGAATTTATAAAGCAATAGCAATTAGAAATTTATTCTAATATCTAAAACAGTTTCACAGAAGAACTTAACTATGCAATTAAATATTAAACCCATTAAGCATTTTCTTAATTATTTTCTAAATCATCTGTTAAAACAACAAATGGTTCTTCAGACTCATCATTCTTTTCTTCCTTATACATAAAATGATCTTCACTTCCATCAAGTTTATTTGAGATGCCACATTTTTTGAAGGATTTAATGACTATTTCAGTAGAAATATCTTCCCAGGCATCAACAATCCATTAGCACATTAAATTGTATGCTGGCTTTTTGAAATTTCCTCCTTTAGTAAGTTGAAATTCACCATTCGCCATCCAATTTCTCTATTTTTCACATAAGCGATCCTTGAAAGGCTTATTTATACTAACGTCTAATGGCTGAACAAGCGATGTGAGTTCTTCGAGTATGATACCTATAATAGTGTTACTGTCATTAAATTTTGCTTTAACTTTATCTGTTAGATGTCCTTTAAATACATCTAAAGTTAAAAGACTTCTTTTTTGTTCTATAATTGTGCTTGAGTTTTGTTCAATATCTACATTTCTTTTCATCCACACATTTTCGATCCAATCTTGCATCAAATTTCTGTCCATCCGG